TCAGTTTTGTATTGCTTATAAAAATTCCATTAGTTCTTGAAGGGGAAGAGTCACCTATTATGTGCTGTGTGTTTTAGGCATGGTGTGTTATTTAATCCTCACAACATCCTGCCAGATGGATATTTGTATTGCAGTTTTTAGATTGGAACACACTATATGTTTCCTTCAAGTTCATTATCAATGAACTTGATAATGAACTAACTCTATGACACTCTTATGTAGGCTTGTATCTATGTTTCAAGAGTATGATCATCAGCATTAAGTAGCTATTAAAAGTCTAGTTAGTCCTTTAAATGTTATCTGTATATGACAACAGAGGGCAAACCAAATAAGTGATTACTGAGAACTACCCTGTGATTATCTTAATGCTGGCTTAAAAAAAAAAAAGACCTAAAATTAGATGAAAAACAACCCTGTTTCATTCCTGGCTTTTAAAAAGCATATAACCACCAAGTTGAGAATTTATTTTCTTTAGTAAGCCATTATCTACTTTTTAGCTTGAATATAAAGCCACATTTTCTTTCAAAATAACTCCTGCATTTGTTTTTAGCAGTCTTTATTTACTTTTGCACTTGTACTAATTTTATAAATTAGTGTATGAAAAGCCATTGGTTATCTAAATATGCCAAATTCTAGTTGCAAATCGACATAGAGGAGGCTTTGCATAGAAATGTATTTTGTTGGTGGTGTGTGCTCTTCCATTGATAGGTATAGGAGGTATAGTTACTCTTCATGGCGTGACTATCACTGATAATTAATGCCTGTCATTGTGGGTTGCATTTAAAGTACATTTGTCACTTCTTTTAAATAATACTTTCCCTCATCTATGGCTTGGTTTCCTGGAAGTATGGTCCTTGTAGAGACCTGGAATAAATGCTTGCTCCCTTTTTATTGATTAGTATTCAAGATGATGAACTTGTTTCCATCTTCTTCCAAAGGTCTTCTGTTTTAAAAAGACACCTAGAAGTTCATGAATTTAAACATTTTTGGTGGGTTTGTACATTGCAATTATTATAACTATCAAAACTTAAATTGTCTGGCTTTGGTCAGGGGGCCAGTTGACTCTTAAGTTCTTTTGACATGACTGTAATAGTCTTGAATACCTTGTTATTTGGTATGACTAAGATGTTGCAAGTTCATCTTGAATTTTTCCTTCCCTAAACATGGAAGCACCCATTTCTCTGAGAAACCCTAATTTCTTTAAATGAGAATGTATGTCACACTTCAGTTTGGGATATCGTGGTGATCATTGCTACTAGGTTGCTAATTTTTTCTAGTCCTTTTAAGTGGATGGATCTAAGAGACATATACGTACCAAGATACAGTATTTCGTGGGTTCATATTCAAATCTTATATGGTCTGAAAGTCCTGGTTTTTAAAGACATTGGCATGAAAGGGATGGTAGAAGTAAAGTAAATGATGGTTATGCATTGGTTTTATTCTGTATTACATGCTCAATGCACCTAAATAATTCTACTGATATGACCACTAATGTGATTATTGAGAACATTAGTTTCATTTTGGTTTTTGTTTGGTTTTGTTTGTTAGGGATTTAACCAAGGGCCTTGTGGATGCTAGGCAAGAGCTCATTACTATGGAACTGCATCCCCAACCCCAGTTACTTTTTGTGTACATTCTCCTCATTTTTCTCCACTTTTGAAGTAACTGTAACTATCTACTGTGGATCACAAACTCATTTAGATACTGTATTCTGTCCCTCTGAGCCCTCCATTTTTCCATGTGTACAGTAGGCTGTATATTTAATACTCATTACCAGGTCTCAAGTCAGAGCCCTAGTGTCCAAAGCTTGTCTCCTCTAGTGGTTTCCTCAGAAGGGGCTGGTATGCAGGTAATCCCTGAGTTTGTACCTCTTATCTTTGAATGAAAGTCAGTGAATGTAAAGTTCTTGACTCATACTTTCTTTGTTTCTTAAATATGTTTATTTCCTTCTGGTATGTACCTTCTATTGAAAAAGCTGATGCCCTTTTCTTCTAGATGTCCAAAGTGTTCTACTTTACTGGAATGATTTGGTATTTGTCATTCTAGGTTGATATTCTCATTTTTTAAAATTTCATGAATTACAGCATTCACTATTTATTATTCCCTTAAAACAGGTATGGATGTGACAATATTTATTGTTTTCTTCTTGAACCATATATGCTAGATTGTTCCAACATCTCTAGTCCTTATTGTGGGGCCCATGTACTCAGCTGGTATTTGAGAGGACAGAACTCCTCCTCAGTTCAACTGAGGCCCTAAAATTCGCAGCTGTGCTTCTAGTAAACTCTTTTGGCTGTTATGAAGTTATCCTGTTCTCAGGTCCACTATATAAGGCCCCACCAAATATTTCTTTTTCTACTCAGACACTGGTATGTAGGCCTTTTGGCTAAAAACCAAAAGGGTTTGTATTCCTGTCTATAGGAGCTTTTTGTTTCCTCATTTTGTTGTATTTTTAACAGTAGGTGTTCAGTTTTGCTATATAGTTGTGGTGTCTGTTTTTATGTCTCCCATAAGCTGTAGGCTCATATATTCAGCTACCTATTAAGTATATCCATTCGGAGCTGGGCACTATGGTACAGGCCTGTAATGCCAGTGGCTCAGAAGGCTGAGACAGGAGGATCACAAGTTCAAAGCCAGCCTCAGTCTCAGCAACAGCAAGCAACTCAGTGAGACCCCGTTTCTCAGTAAAATACAAAATAGGGCTAGGGATGTTGCTCAGTGGTCGAGTGCCCCTGAGTTCAATCCCTGGTACTTCCCTCCTCCAAAAATATACATATACATTCATTCATATATTATATAGGCTAATTAAACTCAACATCATTGCTACCCAGTGGAAATATAATGCTGACACCTTTCTGAGAGCTAATTTAAAAAGTAAAAAGTGGATATAGCTTAGTGGTATAGTTTCCTGCCTAGCATGTGCAAGTTCTGGGTTCAGTTTACCACAAAAATACCAAAGAAACACATGAAATTCATTGTAATGCAGGTTGAACATCCCTAATCCAAAAATCCAAAATGCTCCATAACTTGAAACTTTTTGAGTGCTACCATAACACTACAAGTGGAAAGATCCACACCATGAAAGTTTGTTTCATGCACAAAATTATTAAAATATTATGTAAAAGTTACTGTCGTGCTTTATGTATAAATTGTATATGACGCACAAGTGAATTTCATGTTTTAGACTCAGGTGCCATCCCTAAGATGTGATGGATGTGCAAATATTCCAAAATGTAAAAAAAATTTGAAATTTTAAATGCTTCTGGTCCCAGGCATTTTGAATAAAAGATACTAATCCTGTATTATCTTTTATTTAACCCAGTATATCTAAAATATTATATTTTAATGTGAAGCTTATGTAAAATTTATGAGATCTTTTATATTCACTGCTCAAGTCTTTAAAATTCAGTGTGTATTTTAAGCTTCTGTCTTATTTCTGAGTTCCCTATTTCTCTCCTTGAAATTCTCCATGTCAATCAGTTGCTTAGTTCTTCTGTTTTTTAACTTGAGAATTTTTGCAGTTCCATCGCTTCTCTAACCTTATCACTGCCCCTGTCTCAGGGCTCACTGTTTCTTGACTGGGTCTTGACAGTAGCCTCTCAGCTGATCTTGCTGTCACTGCCTTTCCCCTTATAACTTCATCTCCTGCTTTGCACAGATTTATCCCTAACTGGAAAGCGCACTGTACTGCCCGCCCCTCTTATTATCACTTAGTGGTTTCACCACATTTCAGTAGATAAGGAAGGTGAACCATGAGGTGCATGTAGATGGTTCTTTGGGAATATACGGAAAAGGAAGTAAATGTCCTTTTCTCATCTCATTATTTTGAAAAGTGCGTGCTTAGTGTCTGTTAAAGTGCACAACAGAAAACATGTAACTGACTTATTAAATATAAATGTAATATGCTGATGGAATATAGCGAGATGAAGTACAAGTTCCTGTGCATTGGCTCTGAAGGGCCTGGCCTTTATCTACCTTTCTTCCTCATCACTAAGTCGTACTTCACATCCAGGTATACTCATCAGACTGTACAGTTTGATGAGCTCCTGTAGACTGTTTCACCATTCATGTGTCCAGTGCTGCTAATAACCCTGCCTGATAGCTTTCCTAGCTTCCTTCATGTGATGACTCCTCATTATTTGTGACTCTTCTCCAGCAAGTCACCCTCTTAGGGATCATATTAGATGTTGCTCTTCCTACAGTGTTCCCAGAGTATATTGTGAATAAATGACTTGGCACTTACTTTTTATAAAATTGAAATTATCTGTCATTGTATGTGTCTGTCTCTCCATCATCCCCCAACTCAGAATGAGGAAGTAGATCTTGATTTAGTTTTGTATTTCTGTTTTTTGGCATAGAGTTGATGATACTCAGTAGAACTAAATTGAACCTCCTCCAAATGTTAAAAATTAAGTTATCAAAGTTTAGGCTTTGGCATTGACCAAATTTAATTAAAGACTTAGATCCAATTCCATTGACTTTCAGTTAAAAGTTGAATAGGGGCTGGGGATATAGTTTCATTGTAGAGCATATAGGTAGCATGTATAGGCCCTGGGGCCAATCCCAGCACCACATACACACAAAAAAGTTGAATAGATAAATAAACCCCAAAACAGTGATGCTTTTAATTTCAGAAAAACTAATATCCATAATTAAAAATAAGTATTAATGGTTCTATCAGCTCTAAAAAGGCCAGGGTTTTTGTCATTTTTCACTTATTTCCAGTGTCTATAACTGTATCTGGCATGTAGTAGTAATTCATTAATAAATATTCGTTAAGTAAATGAATGATATATATACAAAAGCACTATATACTTTATTAGGCTTTTAAGGCAAAAATTAATTTTTAAACATTTCCTATTATCTATTTAAATTTTTACAACTTGAAGCAAATACTAAATTGCTATCCTCTTGCGTTATCTTACAGAGTTTTGTGAAGGAAGTCATTGGTAAGTATGATGGAATATAAATTTTGTTTTTATAATTTTTTTCTCTTCTAGTAAACGAAGCAAAAAAGGAGATAAAAATGGAAAAGGCTTGAGACATTTTTCTATGAAAGTATGTGAGAAAGTTCAGCGAAAAGGTACAACATCATATAATGAAGTAGCTGATGAGCTGGTTTCAGAGTTCACCAATTCCAACAACCACTTGGCAGCTGATTCGGTAGGTTGATCATTAACTTGATATGGAGTAACAATGCTACTACAGTTTACTTCTTGGGGTTGTCTGTGTGATAAATTTGAGGAATCAAATAAGCTAGAGCATCCTCAATAAGCTAGGAGGTTTTTTCATATTATAGATTGGAGGAGTTTAAAATAAAAATTGGGGGGTTACTAATGGAACATGCTTTTTTTTAAACATGATCTCCTCTTCAGTGACTTCATATACATTTCTGAACTTTACTGTTTCATCAGTGAAAGTCAATAAGAAAATGTCACTTTTATAAGGAAAAATCATACATGGACATGCTTATTAACATTCCAGTTCTATAAGAGTGTATAATAGAAATTACTCTGTTCTCCCACAGTCCCCATTCATAGGTAATATCATTCTTAGTTAATATTCACTTACACCTGCTTGAATATCTTTCTAGAAATTCTTTTATGAATACATGTGATAAAATTTATTTCCTTTTTGTTTTAAACACAGAAGTGATAATGCTTTGCATGTTGCATTCTTTATTAATGCATGTTAGAGACTGTTCTTTAAGCTGTAGAAATCATTCTCACTTTTTTTCAGGCAAAATAAAGTTACAGAGGGAAATGTACATAGTATACAATTAGATTATTTTTTTCTTACTTTTTGGTAGATAGTTACATACAGTCAAGGTATAGAATTCTTTGAGTTTTGGTAGTTATGTGCACCTGTGAAACCACTACCACAGTCAAGATGCACAACCTCCCCATGACTTCCAAAAGGTTCTTTGAGCCCTTCCTCTGCCTCCCTCCCTAAGCAAGTATTGATCTACTTTTTATCACTAAAGATAAAAAGTTTACATTTTACTAAATGTAATTATATTATATGTACTCTACACAAATATTAAATAATAATGCTAACTCTAGTCATAGATGTTTAATTCTTTATTGTTTGTGTGTTGGCGAGTGAACTTATAACCTTGTGCATGTTAGGAATGTGCTCTACTACTGAGCTACAGATCTGTAATTCTAAACTCTAATGCAATATGTATAGTATTTCAGCCCTCAAAGAGGATAAATATTTTGAGATAATAGGAACTATAGACTACTATTTAATTTTTTTAAAAAATAAACATTTCTTCTTGCTTCTTTGTCTTTTGTGGTTCTGGGTATTAAACCCAGACTTTACACGTTCTAGTCAAGTGCTCTACCATGAACTGATCTCCAACCCTATCTCCCCACCACCTTTTTTTAAAAAAAATTGTTTATTTTTTTATGTAGTGATGGGGATTGAACCCAGATCTTCATGAATGCTAGGCAAGTGCTTTATCACTGAGCTATCTCCCCAGCCCCTTCAACTCTTTTTAAATTCAATTTTGAGACAAATCTTTACTCAGTTGCTAAGGCTAGCCTTGAACTTGCAATCCTCCTGCCTCATCTTCCTGTTAGTAGTTGATATTATAGGTGTGCACCACCACACCTGGCTTGCTCTCTTTTCTTAAGAAAATATCAGAAATGGACATTGAATTTAACCAAGTTATAGTTTCCTGAGAATTTTAGAATTTTTACATTAATATGCATAAGTGAAGTTTCTGTTTTTGTTTGTTAACCATCTTTGCAGTCTGGCTTGGTAGCAGTATGCTGGCTTTATAAAATGAATTTAGAGGGGTTGGGATGTGGCTCAAGCAGTAGCGCGCTCGCCTGGCATGCGTGCGGCCTGGGTTCGATCCTCAGCACCACATACAAAACAAAGATGTTGTGTCCTCCGAAAACTAAAAAATAAATGTTAAAATTCTCTCTCTCCCTCTCTCTCTCTCCTCTCAAAAAATAAAATAAAATGAATTACTCATTCTAGAGTTTCTGTCTCCAATAGGTTCAGTTTGGTATTTTCTGAAGATCTTCCATCTCATCCACATTCTCAAAATTATTAGAATTATTTTTCCTAAAGAACCTTTTCTTGGTTTTGTTCAACCTTCTGATTTGTGTTTCTAGGTTTTTGTTTTGTTTTTTGTTTTTGTAGTGCCAGGGATTGAGCCTAGGGTATGTGTGCTAGGCAAGCACTCCACTACTGAGCCACATCCCTGGCCCCTTTTGTTGCCTTTTACCCTTGTAGACTATGATGTATACTTTATATAGTTTAATTATTTTTGTTTAGTAATGAAAGTCTTTTTTTTTTAAGAGAGAGAGAGAATTGAAAAATATTGCCCACAGATTTGGAAGATGTATATAATAACATGGTTCTCATACCCAGAAACTGTAAATTTAAGCTAAATATTGGTCTTTATTGTTGTCAGACTTAGAACACACATAGTCCTTTTTTATTCTGTCTTTGTATTTTATAAGATATTCTGTAATGTTACATTTCTACTAATAGTTAAAAAATTTTCTCACACAGCTTTTTGTAAAGTGCCCTGCTTCTCTTAAATCTTTTGAAACATTCTAAATATTCTTTTCTAATTGTCAGTTATATTGAATCTTTTTTTATAGCCTCAATTAAATGATTGGCTTTATGGAAAAAAAAGAGAGAGAAAGAGAATTTTAATATTTGGTTTTTTTAGTTCTTGGTGGACACAACATCTTTGCTTATATGTGATGCTGAGGATCGAACCTGGGCCGCACGCATGCTAGCCGAGCGCGCTACTGCTTGAGCCACATTCCCAGCCCTAGTAATGAAAGTCTTTATGGCTATGACTTTTCCCCGTTAGCAGTTTTTGGCTCTATTCCTTTGATTCTGATTTTCTTTTCTTTTTTTTTTTTTGGTACCGGAGATTCAACCCAAAGGTGCTTAACCACTGAACCACATCACTAGCCCTTTTTATTTTTTGAGACAGGGTCTTGCTAACTTGCTTAGGGCCTTGATAAATTTCTGTGGCTGGTTTTGAACTTGAAATCCTCCTGCCTCAACCTCCCGAGCTGCTGAGATTACAGGCATGCACCCCTACGCCCAGCTGATATATTATTCTTTATATATTCTCTAACTTTGGTTTTAATGTCCTTTTGACTAAAAACATTGGAGTTTTTTATAATTTCAGGGGATAGGGATTTTTATTTGTTGTTATAGGTATTTACTTTTACAAGAAGAATATGAGTTGAACCTTTTCTGTTTTTTGGATTGCATTGAGATTTCTTTATAAGCCATTTTATGGTGGGTTTTTTAATGTTCTCTGTGCACTTGAAACAGTGCTTCACCTTTTGATCTTAAGTGAAAGCCAAAGTTCTCAGATCTACAAGCCCCACTATGTCTGGCCTCTATTACCTCATTGATCTCAAAGTCTTCTTTGCACTTCCCTAGTTACTACTTCTGGCCACACATATAGTACACTCCAGACGTATGCTGCATGAGTATGCCAGAAGACGTCCCTGGTCAGGTCTCCATACTTGCTGTTCCCTTTGTCTTTGTGAGCATCCATCTGGCTTCTCTTTCTCTTCCTTCTGATCTTCACTCAGATGTCACTGCAGAGAAGTATTTCCTCTTAGCCTTTTTCAGCATCTTACATATACATTTTATAATCCACTTGCAGCACCCCAGGATATAAACAAAGGTTGGGTTTTTCTCTGTTCACTAAGTGTTACTTTTCTGATGATTTGGAAGATTTATACTCTGCAATTCTTTAGTTGGTTATCTTTATAACTTTAAGTAACATACTTAATATTTTATTTCTTATCATCTGTAATAGTACCTGTTGCTGGACACTATGGTGCACACCTGTAATCCAGTGACATGGGAGGTCAAGGCAGGAGGTTGTCAAGTTCAAACCCAACCTCAAAAAGGATTGGGAATGGGGGCTAGGACTGTGACTCAGTGGCAGAGCGCTTGCCTATAAAGTGTGAGGCACTAGGTTCAATCCTTAGCACTACATACAAATAACCAAGTAAAATAATGGTATGTTGTCCATGTACAACTACAAAAAATATTTTTTAAGAAAGCATTGGGGATGTGGGAAAGACCCCCCCCACACACACACACACAAAACACAAACCAAAACAGTAGCTGTTGATTATGGAAAGTGTAATAAAGTAATATGCTGTACTTATAGCCATCTTTCTCTTCCACCACAAGACTTAGATTAGATATATCAGTACTAATTGTTAAAGAAATAATATTTTTATAGTTGTTTTAAAACTTCACATAAATATACTGTGCTGAAAGTTCTATTGTTACCTCATTATCTACTTTGAACAGTGCCCATATTCTTTCCAGTATCAAAGAGAAGAAACCAGGAATCCTACCTCACTGCCTCCACCTGTTATTTTTTGTTATGTTATTTCTATAATGTCAGGATTTCTCATATTTACATTCAGTTCTGTAACCTAAGTTTCCCTTTACTTTATTTATTTATTTATTTTTAAAATATTTTTTT